TTCTGTGTGTGTTCTATCTTATTCGTCTAACTGTTGCTGTAATATGGTTAACCATCAGTGCCAACAATTCATTTTTGGTATTTATAATGTGCTCAAAAAAGTAAAGAAAAAAGAAAATATTTGGAAAAAAAAAAGAGCTGATTTTCCATTTCTTTATTCATCCGTCTGTATCTCACTTCTTTTTCACCTATCAATGTTACTTGCTGCAAATCAATTTCAAAAAGATAAAAAATAAAAAAAAACATCATTTTCTATAGCATCACAACTATTACCAATTACAACAACAACGTTTATACACATGAAAATTATATTATGATCAAAAAAAATAAAAGAAGAAAGCAAAAATAAAAACAGTGCAAAGCAATATACCGCGAATGTAACTTCAAAACCAAACAGGCAATTAAGTTTTCTTTTCCTTTCCTCTTTTTACACAAACTGGTGAATATTTAATGTAAACATAATAGAATCACATGAAAAAAAAAAAAAAAGGTGGCGGTAGTAAAAGTTGCTCAACATAACTGCCGCTACAGTTAACGTAATATCGAAAAAAAATCGTTGAAGCAGATAAACCGACGGATAATTGGTGGTGACTGATTGATTTAGTCGGTTGCCAATAGAAAGCGCTGTAATTCTACTGACGTTTAAGGATAAAAGACGGTAACAAACTGTGGACAAAATAACTGCCGATAACAGTTGCATTAACTAACGCCATCGGCAGCAGTAACAATGCTGGCGACGACAAAGACGACACGGCGACGACAACGACGACGACAACGACGACGACGGCATCGATGACGATGACGACGATGACAACAAAAACGACAATTTATTGATCAATGTACAGCGCCAAAAGTGGTCGTCAGTCGATAGTGTTCAGTTGAGAGAACAGCAACTATATAACCGATTACAAGTCGGACAGTTTGTCCTTCAGCGAGTGGAGTGAGAAGTTGAATACAGGGGCCGATTCAGTGCCGACAACTCTCAATTCCAAAAAAAAAAATGAAAAAAGAAAAAAAGAGAGTTTCCTTTTCATTTTGCTACTAAATTTGATGTTTTTTTTTTTTAATTCCTTCAATTTCTCCTGCAAATGTAAATTTTAATCAATAAATAAAGAAAAGTTTTTCATTTTTCTCTTCTCAATGTTTTTTTTTCCATTTACAAAGTTGGCGATGACAAAACAGCAGAAGAAATTTTTGGTTTGATTTCTTTGAACAACAGTGAAAAAAAAAAGGAGAGCAAAAAAAAAAA